AGCTTCCAGCTTTCTGGGGTGGCCAAGATATGAAATAGTACCTGTCTCCCTGAGGGCCTCTGCTTTTCCATCCACATAATTAGAGGGCTGGACCAGCTATCCACTAAGTGTCCTTCTAGCTTTGATCTGCCATTGCAGTCACCTGTCCTACTGCTTTCTAAGTCCAAGCAGCAGAAAGACTACTGACGTTCAGGGCATACAGAATCTATATCCAACCCTTTTGGCAGAGTCCCTGTACTGGGGCTCTGGAGTCATCAGACTGGTATCAGATAGAAGACCATCACCAACAAATGGCAACCTTTCCTGTAGGGAAAGACGTGAGACTCAGGCTGGAAAAAGAAGACAAGTGCTCAACACAGAAAGAGGAAATGGTCTGAGATTAGCCTGGAACAGGACTGAGGATGTCCTGGGACTCTGCCCAGCCAAAAGCCTCAGACAAAGTTGCCTGGAGAGACCAGAAGAATTGACGATATCTGACCCGGAAGACTGTCTGCGCACTGCAAACCAACAGTCTCTACATGGGCTCTCCTAGACCCTTCAGATCAACCAAATAAATGACTCCTTCTAGATGGCAATTCCAGCCTTACTCTGGCTGGGAGCTGTGCCTGCTAAACATACTTAGGAGTATGTTTGCTACACACTTTGCTTATACAGCCTTCCTAACAAAAAAAAATACCCCATTCTACGTTCAAGACTTCATGTTTTTGATAGGAAATTCTCCCGCGTCCTTGCCCCTGCCCAAATACTCCTGCCACCCATCCCGCCCTAAAGGCTCTGAACTACCTCAGTGTGGAGGTCTAATTCCCTGGGCCCCCCAGCCTTTAGTGGACCAGGTATGGATATCTTTGTATGGGGATGAGTCCACACTCCTTCAGTCTTCCAGCCTTCTAGTATCCATTTACCTCCACTCACCTCTAAATCTCAATAAGAAATGCAAGGCTCAGATCCCCAGGGCAAAAGGTGCTCAGTGGTTTCATCCCGTCTCATGGAGTATTGGCCATAATGTTCACAGATGAGTTAATTCCCTGAAAGTTCTCAAATCCACAGGCTCCTGACCACTGTCCTTTATAAAGTTCAAGCATCTTAACATCAGGCCACACACACAGGCTTGGAGCCAGGGAAGGGTAGACCACAGAGGCAATATCCCAGACACCCTCACTTACTCACCCACCGTAGAAGAACCATTTTATCCTTCCCAATGGGCTTTTCAGGCTCACTTGATTTAGAACTCTAAGCTCAACCAAGATCCTAACTTGTCATGACTGAAGCTTTAGGTTAAATTGGGTTCAAACTGGGAGGTAGGGGCAGAGATGTGGGGATAAGAAGAATGTAGACTTGGACTGTTTTTTCATGATCTAACCAAGAAAATGCCTTGATCCTAGGAAAAAAGTCCGAACAAGATCTGGGCAAGACTGTGGAAGTGTAAGACCAGACCGTCACCTCCTCTGTCCCATCACCCTGAGATTCCTGGTTGCAGTGAGTTCTCTACCCTACCCAGCACCCCGGGAACCAAAAGTTCAGACTCCAGTGTCACTTCCTTGTGTTTTACTATACCAAAGCTTATTCAAATTCAGTCTCCTGTCAACTTGTGATATTCCTTACAGTGAGAACCTGCCTTACGCTGTATCACAGTTTCAAAGTGGTACCCCTAGCAACCTGTCTGCTTGACCTCAAACTCAGGAAGACACTCCAACAGGAGCAGGGACAGGATTTAAACTGCCAATCAATTGCCTATCTGCCATCCCTATGACAAGATCCATATGAGGATAATACTACCACGATGGCTTCTATAGGCTTCCATTAGAATTTGTTGGCTGGGTGAGTTTCAGCAGGACCCTTCTTTGGAGTTCTTTCGCTTTCCATCCTTCCACCACTAAGCAACTATTGTTTCTTTCATATTTTTAATTACATACAGGCTCTTCTTTTTTTTTTTTTTTTTTTTTTTTGTCTTTTTCGGTACCGGGGATCGAACTCACGACTGCCTGCTTGCAAGGCAGGCGCTTATGCCGCTGAGCTAAATCCCCAGCCCCCAAATACAGGCTCTTCTGAAAGGTGACACCTCTTGTTCATCTCTTAATTTCTAACAGGCTATAATGCTGTGCTGGCTTGCACATAATGAGTATTTGTCATGGTTTATGTTTGTGTCCCCCAGGCCTCATGAGTTTGCATTGTTCATTTGTGATGGTTCATTGTATAGTGCTTGGATTGATGGCTCCACCCACATAGGGGTGGAGCCAGGATGTGATGTAATGGCAGGAAGAAGGTGTGTCTTTCTCTTTGCTGGTTTGAGCTCGCTGTTGGCGGCCGCCATGAACTGCAGCCCAGCCATGCCTGCCTGTCTTGGAGCCAACTGAGTATGGACTGAAACCTCCAAAAACTGTAAGAAATAAACCTTTCCTTTCCCAGCCTTGGGCTTCAGGTATTTTGTCTCAGCAACGAGTAAAAAGTAACTAAGACAGTATTCAATATGTATTTGTTAAATAAATGGTATCATGGGCAAAATTTCAGCACAGCATCTATAGAGAGCAGCAAGGGTCTGGAGAAGGAAGCACTGACCACTGGAGATGAAGTGTAAGTCATATCATAAAACATCATAACTCTCCTTTAAACTATTTATTACAGAATTTTTACAGAGAAGAAGACACTATATGTAAAACACTCAGCAATAATGATCCAGAAATAGTAGTTTAGTGATTTTTAAATGATATGCACACATGTTTACATGATATATATATACCTATATGATTTATAATATGTATATATCCACAGATCAAAGTATTCCAGAGGTGTAGTTTGGAGTTCAGAGAAGTCTCTCCATCTCTTAAGCAATCTCTGTCATTCTCTCTCTCTTTGTGAGAATCAAACCCAGGGCCTCATGCATCCCAGGCAAGTTCTCTACCTTTGAACCATATCCTCTACTCTAGAAGAATATTAATCTTGTAGATAAAACAGACACATTGGTAACTGCTAGATAGGTAACTCAAGAAAGTTGGGCCCAAATAGTTACCCTAAATGGATTGCTATTAACCAGAGAAGGAGTCCTGAAACTCCTAGAAATGTGGACACTTTCTGTTTTTTCACATTTATTGATCTGCATATATTAGACAATGCTTACATGTCAGGGATTAATCCTAATTGGTCATCCTATATGATTCTTTTAGTATGTTGTATTCAATTTACTAATGCTTTGTTGAAGATTTTTGCATCTATGTTCATCAGGGATATTGGCCTATGATACTCTTTTTCTTTTTCCATTTGTTCTAGATCCCTTCATGGTCACCCTTTTTATCAGTGACTTAGATAAGATATGCTTGACTTAGATAAGATATGCTTATCAAGTATGCATGTGGCAAATTAAGCAGAAAAGACAATATATTAGATACAATCAGGGAAAAGAAGCCCTCACAAATAGGAACTATAGATTAAATATAAAAGATAATTTTTTTTGAAACAGGGTCTCTCAATGCCTGGCAATGATATAATAAATTTAAAGGGCAAAGTATAATAAATTTTATATTTAAGATTAGGAAAAAAACTCATAACAACAAAAGGAAGATGGTATAAGCTAAAGAAAGGTTCAATCTATGTCAACTGATGAATCAACATGATTTAGAGTTTAAATGTTTGAAATACAAAGCTCAGATCAAATGAGATCCATGTTTTTGTAAGAACAAAAGTGTTTCTAGGAGACACGTAAGTCTATTTGCAGACCCAGGAGTAAACGGAGTCTTGAATACCATTTCAGGCAAGAATATTGCAAGAAAATCAAGTTTGTGGAAACTGAGGATTAAGATTACGAATCTGGTTCATGAGGCTGAAGGTCTTCCTGCAGAAGAAGAAGAAAACCACCGCTATTGTCCCCACACAGTCATCACCAGGGCAGCTTTTGGCTAGGTGAGAAGAAGGGACAGCTGAGCCTGCCTGATCTGCTCTCCTCCCTGGAGCTACTAACATCAAAACCACCCAGTTGGGCCCCTGACCTCCAGAGCTTTAGCAAGGACAATAAGCAGCTCAGGAATCCAAACAATTCTTGTCCACCATCTCCCCCAACCATGGTTCCCCATGATCAGAATCACAAAGTGGTATTTTTAACCATTAGAGTGAATTCTTGTGGCTCTGTAACCTTCTATACTAAGCTGTCATTCGATAGCAATTGTGAGCAAGGACTGTTTGAATGCTGTGTCTGAAACATTAGATGGTAGAAATGCGGTACTGCTGCTTCCTCAGGCCCTGTGAGGATGTGTGCAAACCAGCTCACCGCCCATGATGGGAAACTCACTGCTTCTTCCTTAGGGTTTAGGAAGAAAGAACAGTGGCCCCTCAAAAGCCAGTTCTTAGCCTAGGAATATGGAAGGTGGCCCTAAGTCACAAAGGAGAACTAGAAACTTCAGGATCCTAAAAATTTCCTGTTTTACCCAAGGTTAGGAACCTAGAACTTTCTAATCTACCCAATAATTAGCTCCTTTTTAATACCACATACACCGAATGTATCTTATTTACTTTGCCACTTTTATAAAAAGAGGCACTTGTAAATGCTTGTTCACTTAGAGATCAACAGAGAAGGGACAAAAATGAGCCTCTCAGGATTCAAGGAAAGGAAGATGGGTGAGATGATGAGAGGAAAAAAAGAGGACTATGGAAAGAAAAAACTAATGTAATTTAAAATCTTGAAGGGGAGAGAGAAATTGGAAGAAGCTTGTTTGGAAGTATAAGAACAGCAAACTTGGGGAATTCCTAAGCATTACTCCCAGGGAAGTCAAAGAACATACTTAAGTGCCCCTTAGCCTTCTAAAGAAAAAAAAGAATTTAGAAAGCCCTTTACTCCTTCAGCTTCCTCAGTCTGTTAAGTGCCATGGAACTAACTGGTCAGCTAATGCTGCTAATGACTGGGAGGAGGAAAGTGCAGTGAAAATAACAAAAGGTTAAAGGCTGCTTGCTGTCCCTTGAAATGCAAGCAGAAGACTCCTCTGTCCTGAGACTGTAGGATTCCAGAGGCTGTAACTGGAGGACAATTACTCACCTCAAATCACAGCCAACAGGGCACCCACCATTTCAGCACTGAAGGTGCTGAGACCAGAACTACTCAGCATAATGCAGATAACATCTGCCCGGTCATGCATGACACAACTCTTCCCAGGAAAAGGCCACCAGAGCTGGGGATATGAAGCGTACCCAGGGTGAATCTGGCAAGGTGAGACTTGACTCTCTATTCCCAAGAGTTACCCGGTTACCTGTGCTTTAATTACATCCTCTGCTTCCTTTTAGATTCCAGACTCCTCTACACGCGGCTTACAGCAGCATAGCCACCAGCAACCAGAGGGTCAAAGGCAAAGTGGGAGACCTGAGGTTGGGACTGAGAGGCTCAAAGAGGCTTCTGCTTTGTTGTCATTTCAATAAACAAAGTCTCTGCAAGCTGCTGAAGCCACCTATTTCTGTTTCACCAAGGAGACTGAGGACAGATGGCTCACATGACTTTACCTGCTGCTCCAAGGCAGGGAGAGAACACAGTATCCAGACAAGATAACAACCTACAAGCCACCAACTCTCCTCTTCTACTACCATGTAGTCCACACCAAAGAGAGGAATGGGATGGACCACAGCAAAGCTATCTCAAGGAAGGAAAAAGCAAGAAATGGTCCCCAGTAGCTGGACATAGAAATTGGGGTAGATACCCAGGCCAAGATAGTGCAGACCAAAATAAGGATGGGGAAGTTTTTTGTTTGTTTTGTTTTTGTGGTACTGGGGATTAATCCCTGGGCCTTTGCACTGGAGTACATGCTACATTCCCAGTTCTTTTTTTTTTTTTTTTTTTTTTTTTAATCTTTAGACAAGGCCTAAATTGTCCAGGGTGGACAATCCTCTTGCCTCAACCTCTTACAGTGCTGGAGCTACACACCTGTGCACCACACCCAGCAGTTTATTATTATTCAGAGAAGCTTTAGCAAGGGTGCTGCTCCTAACATTGCTGAGCCAGAACTTCCAAAAGCAAGTGAAGGCCAGACTGACACTGAGGACCTAGAAGGTGCACAGTGAACCTGGTACCTTTTGCTTCCTCTTCTAACTGAGACTCATCTAGAAGCCCAGGCCCAGGCAGAGCACAGATTTCCTATTCCCAGGGTGCAGCCCTTCTCTGGTTTTCTTCAGGGGCCGCAGTGCAGCTGCAAGGAAGCTGAGGGTCAGGACGCAGACCATGAAGCAGGACCATACACTATGCAAAATGCTTTTGAGGACACAGAGGGTGACCGTCCTCTCTTAATTTTCTTTCTTTGTCTAGGATACCTCCTATCTCTCTGTCTCTGTCTCTGTCTCTCTATCTCTGTCTCTCTCTTTCTGTCTGTCTGTCTGTCTGTCTGTCTCTCTCTCTCTCTCTCTCTCTTTCTCTCTGATGAAAATAGGAACAAGAAGTTCTAAGGGTTCTTTTGTAGAAGACATAAACAAACCTGGAGCATGATGACTGGCTGTGGAAGTGAAGAAGGGTCCAGAACTACTTCCAGATTCTGGCTTCCATCACTGAGCGCCAGTTGGCACATCTAGAAACACAGACCGAACAGAATATTCCAAGGTGCTCTACTCTAGTCCTCTCTAAACAAAAGGGGAGGTTTCCTCAACACAGGAAGTTGTTTAGGCAACAGAGACTGATAGGAGTAAAGGGGAGAGAGATGGAAGATGAGAAATGAGACAAGAAAAATAATGGAGGAGAAAAGAATAAAAGAACTCAGGAATGGTGGTAGATCCTATTATGCCAGCACTCTGGGAGGCTGAGGAGACAGACTTTGCAAGGTTAAGCCCAACCTGGGCAATTTAGCAACTTAGTGAGACCCTGCTTCAAAACATTAAAAAAGAGCAAGACAGAGGAGGGAAAAAAAAAAAAGCTCCATACACACATGTGCATGTGTGTGTGCACACACGCGTGTTCATCCTGACTACCCTATGCCTAGGTCCTGTCTAGTCCACTTTGAACTATTCTCCGCCCGTTTCCTCCACATTCCAGCTGCCAATCTCCCAGGCCCTTCAGGAGATTCTGCCCAATCTCCTGCTACAAGAGATTTCCACAAAATGTCACATTTCACTGCATCACTTCTCATTTCCTATGCACCAACACAGAATTTAAACAGTTCAAATTTCTGCCTCTGTTCTGCCAGACCTTCTATCTCAAAGCAGCTCATCAGTGACCCTTGGTGCCACTTCTCTCCAGGTACTGTTGCTCCCCACAGTCGGAACACATCCCACCACTATTTTGCTTATGAAGTCAACACAAAATTACTTTTTGCGACTCTTATGTATTCCAGTCTGATCTGGAACTCCCTTGGTAGCCCCGGCTGGCCTTGAACTCGTGGGGACCCCTCTGCCTCAGCCTTTAGAGTGCTGGGATTACAGGCATACACCACTATGCTTGGCTCAACCCAACTTTTAAAGACCAGAAAAAGATTCTGCTTCTTCTAAGAAGTTTTCCTACAATTTTAAAAAAAATTCTTGTTTATTAACTATAAATATAATCATGGCTAATAATCAACACTGTTAAGATCTTCCATATTCACTAATTACAGTAGTTAACAAATGTTGTCTGTCCCAATAGATTATAAATTCCCTCAAGCCAGAGGGAATAGTGTTTGTTTCAGAATATTCATTAAGTTGAAAAAAACACAGCAAGTGCTTGTTAACTGCCTGGTGGCTGGAAAGCAAGATCTCGGTTTTCCTGCAGCCCTTGGCAATGTTGGGAGTGTGGGAGGGAAGAGGGGAGGGGTGGAATCAATACCCTACCAACCTTTGAAGTACTTTCCCACCCTTTCCTGTCCGCTTTCATCCATTCTGTTTAGGGTAGAAAGAAGCATATCCCGGGCTCAAAAATGTAAACCTCTCCTCTACAGCTGCAGCCGAGCACATCAAGCAGCATGCAGACGGTTATATTTAGCTCCATTCTTAATGTCCTGATCGGCCCCTGCGATAGCCGTGGCTGCTTACAATGTCTGCTGGTGATGGGAAGATAAAGGGAAGCAGACACAGGACTGAAGAAGAGCCAAGACTAGTAGTAATCTTCCAACGTGCATTTCAGATCTGGGTCCTAGAGGTAGTTCTGCTTCAAATTAAGATCAATCTGTCTGTCCTTAAACCCCAAAGAGACAAGACACCCAAGAGATGGGCTCTATATTCTGCTGGGACACAGGCACTATTACAGGTCAAGTGAGGACTGGCAACTGCAAAGGAGCTTCTTGTTTTTGATGCAGCACTCAATGCTAGGATTCTGGACAGCCAACTCTCTTAGACTCAGCACCTTTGCCCCAGAACACCCTATGCCAAGACCTCCCTGACAGACAGGAACCACTTAGTATTATAGGTACAGGGTGGGAAGAGCAGGTGGGGGAGCAGACTTATTCCGAGAAGGCGTCCTTGGCCATTACACCCACAGTACTTAGCAATGCAGGCACCACCAAGCATGCCCAAACCCACCTCCCCACTGCTTCCTGCCTCTAGCCACTCTGGCACATCTCTGCAAAAATCCCCAGCTTTCCCACTGTCTGCAGCCAGCCTTCTCCATTCCATCTCCAGATTTACTACCCTTTCCTGTTTATTAGAAAGGTTCACCCCACTCTCCACATCTAAACATACACACATAAGCACGTACACACACAGACATCCTTGCTCAGGACCTTCCCCCAACCAGGATCATCCTCTTCCCAATGAATCTGTGCTTTTATACTCTCTTGGGCCCTTTCTGCTTTACAGGAGCCAATGCTGCTGCCCTCTGAAAGATTTTAAGACAAATAAAGATAGCCCCTGCCTTTAGGACAAGGGGATGCCTGCGAAAACTATTCCACGTGCCAACACAGCCAGACTAGAAAGACTCCAGCCAGGAGACAGAGCCTCACTCCGCCTCTAAGCTCCTTCCTAATAAAACGCATCTGCTGCACCCATCTCCAGTGCCAAGGGAAGATCACAGGAAACTGAGTGCTGATCTTTCCCTTCAGCCCTCCCTTCAAAGGCACAGGGAGCCAGGGAGGGAAGCTGCAAACGTTTTCAAAAGAATCAGTACACCACACTCAGTGAAAGGCTAGCTCCTGGCTCCGAAATGGCAGGAAAAGGCAGTTCCACCTTCAAACTTTTGGTCACCTCCAATAGCTAGTCTCCAGGGAACTACTTTAGCATTTTACATCACACAGAGCAAACCGGGAAGCAACCACACCCACACAGCCCCCAAGGCAGAAAGTTGGGCAGAAAGGAATGCAGACAGCTTCCCAGAAGTGCCCTTCTATGAAGGAAACCAAGAGCTCACCCACAGCTTCCTGGGCCCAGAATGGGAGGCACTGGGCTCTCAAACAAGCACTTTGGCAACTCAAAGTCTGTCAGTCTTAAAACTAAGGGGCCAAAGAAAAAGAATGACAGGGAAATGCCCAGGCGGAATAGAGTGGAGCTGAGCCCCAACACCTTTGAGCTGCAGCATGCAGTGGCCAAACTTGAATGGGAATAAGGATCTTAAGGGACCCTAAGCATGGACTGGGGATGGGGATACCTGATTCTCTGGGTATCAGTTGGGGTCTCACACACTTTCCATGCAACAGTCTTCATTTTCTAACACCCCACCACCACCACTGGAGGAGGCAGGCAGATGCAGTGGTGGAGACCAGCATCTGACAGGAAAGCAAAGCTGGTGAGCAGATGGGCTTTGCTGGCTCCAGTGCCACCCTGCTCTAGTCTCTCTACCGAGCTTCAGAGGCTTTTTCCTGCCCTACTGTTGGCTTCCCAAGAAGCTCCACCACAATTCCTAAACGCCTCCACAGTCAAGGCTGAGCACAAAGAAGATCTTCCCTGGGGCTGTCATCTACCCAATTTGTCACCCAAAATGTTGCTTTGTGAGGCCCTCTTTTGAAATAAGTATAGGGGAAAAAAGAAGCAGAACACAGAAAGGAAGCCATGAGAAATGCCTTCCTCTTATATACAATTTCTGCATCAAGTCATCAAATGAAAACAGTAAAATAATCTTAATTTTAAAATAATTTATCTAGGAGTACTAGCACATGACTGCAATCCCAGCTACTCAGGAAACTGAGGTAAAAGATCACAAGTTTGAGGGCAGCTTACATACTTTATCAAGACACTGTTTCAAAATAAAATATACACAAAAAGAGCTGGAAGCATACATAGCTCAGTGGTAGAATGCTTGCCTGGCATGCACAAGGTTCAAACCTCAGTACCAGCAAAATAAAAAAGACTGAAATCATAGACTCCTTGCCGTGTTAAGAAAAGAACAATTCCTAATGCAAATTCCCTAAAACCCAGACAATGTGTCCCCATCTCACTTCATGTCCAACCCCTAGTTCACAAGCCTCTGTCAGATGTTAGCACTAACACAAAATACATACAAACGTCTGTCAGTTCCTCACAGCTTTGTTCCCACAGCCAAGGTTGCAAGTCCT